CAAGTTGATCTACTTGCCAGACGTGGCATCCGAAACTAAGCGGTCTGCACTTTCGGGAGGTAAACTTTGTGACAGTGTGTATCTGTCGATTCAGTATCACTATGAAGGCACGGATAGAGCCAAATATCTGTATGCAGATTGTGCACATGGTGGAATATTATATATATATATATATATGTATGGATTGTATGGACAAAAATGGATTGTCTCATGGGAAATCCTCCCTTACCTCAAGAACCAGCACCCTCGCGGCTGCTCTGAGCCGGGTCTCCGGCTTGAAGTGGTGCGTCATCATGACCCTGAAGCCGGCGTCATGGAAGTTGAGTTTGCGGGGAGACTGCTGGATAATCTCGTCCACCATGAGGGGTTTGTGAGTCGGGGAGGGTGTCTTACTGTCAGAGGCGCTCCCTGGATAAGATGAAGGAGACATTTGTAGGGTTTCTTACACCGTTTTAATACTCTGACTATGTCACTGAGTTAATCTAATTGCGTGTTGGATGCAACATTTCAACTCTGAGGCTGTGGGTATATTTTGACATAGATTCTGACCACACAGTATAGAAATCAATACCGCTGATATACCCAGTCTCTCTGGGATCCTCACCAGTTGAGCATTCCGCAGTCGATCAAGGGCAGTCTTCAATATTATGGACCAGTGATATGGAACAGACTCCCATCCGATCAAAGAGTGCGGGTCACAGACTTGACTTGAGACGGATTCGTCTGACTAGACAAAGAACTGAAACTGAATTCGAAGACTTAAACCTCAACATATATACGTAGACGTAAAATATGACCGAACCGGTGAATGACGATATCTCAGTGGGAACTGAAAGCCTGTGTTTTTGGTTTCTCGTGATCGAATGGACCTTTTCTCTAAATAGTGGTCAGCAGTCCATGGTTGTCAAATTTGCTCAGTCCCTTGAGTCACCGCTATGGACAGTTTAGGATGTACTTACTTTCACTCATCAGGATAGAGTTTCTCTTGTTGGTGTCCTCCGTGTGCTGAACGGCGTTACCCTGCTTACGCATCTTCCGTCTCTGCAGCCAGGCCACAACTTGAGGATTGAACCTGGTGGTGAAATCATCACATTTTGTAAATCGATGGTTTTTATCGAATAATCAATGGAGAATGGTGGCATTACGCAATGGGTCTTGACTCTGTATTTGTATAAGGTAAAAGTGACACGGGATGCACTTTACAGGATCTATAAATATACAGAGAGTACAAATGTACACATTGATAGAAGCAAAGCTACTTCGTGGCAGGGCACGTCACATGATTTAAGAAATGATGACTTAAAAGTGACGAAGAAAAGCCAGGACGATATTTTGGTGCCTAATGTATAATCTACGGAAATGTTGTTGCCGCAATTTCTGGGAATTCTGAATCATTCATGGCGACTTATAGATACCCTGGATTACGAGTCACGCATTACCAGTCACTTCTGAACCCATCAGTCCTAAGGTGAGCATCAATATTAGGCCTGGCACACCGAAGTTATGTAAAAAAAGAACACCCTCATCTTTAATCTCTACACCAACTTTTACGGCCAAACATCAGTTCTACTACATAATAAGGGCAAAGACTTATAGTTTGGTGGCGTGTCAAATGACATCCCAGATGGAGCGTATAATTGCAAAGGCAGTAGAGCCAGTAGAGACGCAATAGTGACGTCAAACGAGACTTGCTCTAAAGGAAAATCATGGCCCAGACCGCGGACCGGATAATGCGCCATGGTGAGGACCAATGAGTTTGCCAATTCCCCATGGATCATCCTTTCTTCCCTCACGCCAATGACGTTTTGTGCGCTCCATAACCCTTTATACCAAATGTGTGAAATGTATGAGCGGCAGACCAAGATGGCCAAGCGTTCCCATTCAATTATAAACAGTTCAAAGCACTTGGACATATATCGTATTAACAATATAACTTCACGCCAACTCCTTTGGGAGATACATTTTAAACTTCAGACATGGGTGAAAAGAGGCAGTGTCGTAAGCTGTAGTAAACTGGAGAACATACATTAGACATCTGGGGCGGGATGTACCCGTCCGTTCGAAAGGACGTTAAGCTGGCGGTTCCGTGTATAAGGGATGTACTCTAAGACGTCAAACCTCTGGACTTTATAGAACCAAACGTGCTTATCTTGAAGGGTAGAGGTGACTCGGTGTGCTTGTCTATAAAACGCGAACCGTGGCAAAGTCGCATTGTACTACTAGCTACACAAAAACAAACATGGTTCATCTCAATAGATGATGACCGCTTTACTTCTTCCCATCCGAGAGGACGTCCCAAACCACTAGGTACCCACTTTCACCTATGGAATGGAAAGTGCCTTTACGATGATCACACCGTGCTAAAGTGTCGATCCCAGAACCATTAGAGGCTAAGTCAACAACCCTGCCCAGAAGGCCACCATGCCGCATGTTTACTGCCTCACCAGGCACTTACCCCATGAAGAAGATGTAAGCAGTGTACTCTATCAGCATCACCAGGGATTCGTACCTGTGGGAAGGAAACGACAGGGTGTTGAAAATTTTAAGCAATAAGATAGCAGATTTGCAGCACTGTGTCATGCATCATGGGGAGGTGAGGCTGGTGATGACATCTCGTTAATCTGCTATTTAGTTTTCTGTGATAGCATGTTTTATTTAAAAGTTGTGCAACTCATAATTGCATTCTTGGGGCCAAGCTGCTTAACCATGTGTTGCGAATGAATGACCGTATCCGTGTGTATCTATGACACTGCATGTATCTATGTGTTGCGAATGGAGTGCTGTATCTAAGATGACTACAACACATCCTCTGCAACGCTTGGTTTATCCGCAATAGGTGATAAAGACAGCAAACGTTAGTTTCAATGGTTCTGTTGTGGTTTCCGGGCATAAAAGGATGCACAGATCACACAGTTCCTTTTTATCCCGTATCACTTGACAGTAACCATAGTACTGTTCCTGGTGTTCACGATTTTTCTTGTTACAAACGACAAATATTCACGGAGAAACACTTACCAGGTGACATTTCCGTCTTGAATGACCTGAAACGATATAACATGGTTAGGTCGCTCATTACATTATTTTGTATGGTTCTAATTTGTATGGTTGATATGTATTTTTCACTATGTCGTATCATATTGAATTCGCAAACTATAAATGATCTCTTTAGGTTACACTTCCAGATATTTTGAGGATGTCATAGCTGATGGTCACAGAGAACTAACCCGAACCCCTAAATTTTTCAACTGACAATTCAGACTTACTCCTATACTACAAGCACAATTTAATGGAGTAGTTATCACAAACCCACGCAAATTTTCATGTATTGTGTAACATTTACAGTTCCGCTTGTCGTAAAGAACTACGTTTTAGTGTTGTTGTTCCCTCTATTTCTTATAACTTGTACATGTAGTAGCCTGTAGTATCATATGCACTTACAAAGATAAGTGTGATGATGGAGACCAGGTAAGCAGCAGTGTCCCGGAACAATGGCCACCAGGTCAGGGGCACGATCTGATAGACAAACACGAGGTAAGTACCTTGCAATCTACAGATTATTAAGAACGCTAGCAGTTTCTAGTATGTAGCCAGGTATCCACCATATAATAGCTCCAGTCCGCTCCGCTTCCTTTTGCAAATATTCTGCAGAGGGGCAGACCGGAGATAGAATAGAATGGACACAAGGCTAGTGTAGACCACGGCAGGAGATTATTGCCATACAGCGATTGCTGAACAGCACCAGCAGTCTGGTATACGTTTGAAAGGCCACGAAGTTGATGTTTCCGCACGAAGAGTTATTCTTCATCATGGATGTTTTGAGGTTGCAGTCACTGAAACAGCTGGTTGGAACTAAAAAGTCTAATGGTCATCAAAACCGTCCAGCCTGCATTAGCACTGTTCCCAATTTCATGATGGTGAACGACTTTCACGGTGCCTTAGTGTTCAGGCGAATATTCAACATCAGAACGCCCACTATACTCGTTTTACAACTTGATCCCTGAACAATTTCTCTCATACGTATCCGTCCGTAATGTGATAGAGGACGGACCCTTTAACCTCCACTAAGTCGCAATTTGTTTTAGCGCGACCTCGGTGTAGGCGCCAATTTCCCGCAGTGTCTGAACTTCGGTAACATGCTATAACGACAGCCGCTGAGGTCGTTTGGAAAATTGTACTGCCCGAGAAACACCTCCAGACTGCGCTAAAATTGGTCTTCGTGGACTTTACTCAGTCTTTGGAGACTCAGCTCGCCAGCGCTAATTTCCGCAGAACTTACGCAATCACCCGGGGAGTCAGATATAACGGTCCACACGGGTCTTGGTAACATCAGTTCACACAAGTCATAACACATACGGGAGGGAAAGGTTATCGTTTGCTTTCAAAGCACGTTCACGCAGAATTCGAGGGATGATCAGAACGTACGAGAGTTACTTTTGTATGCAGGTGAAATGAGTCTTGTGCTGGAAACGGAATGTAAAGTACAAACTTTACCAAGGACAGGTATGTTAACACGTCTGCATGGATAGCGTTCAATACCAAAGACGATTAATAGATTATAGTAACACGTAACGTTATGTGTGTGGGTAGTGTTCAGCACCAAGGACAGGTATGGCAGCACGCGTGTGTGTGTGTGTGTGTGTGTGTGTGTGTGTGTGTGTGTGTGTGTGTGTGTGTGTGTGTGTGTGTGTGTGTGTGTGTGTGTGTGTGTGTGTAGTGTATGGTGTCAACATTAATTCATAGAAACCCCCATACTTACTATTCCAGCAAATAGTCCACACAGCCCGATGACGAAGAGAATATTGAAGACAGCGGAACCCACTATTGTCCCCAAACCGACGTCTCCCTTAGCGATAAACACGCCTAGCAAGAGATAACAAGGTCCATATGAAAGTTTATTGCAACTTGTACAGAAATAGTGAATTCCTTCAAAAACATTGATTGTTTGTCAAATTGGTCAAATTTTGATCGTTTAGCAATCGCCGTCTTGTTGAATCGGAAAGCTGGAGAAATACGTTTTTTGTGTCGACATCACTTTTTTTTGGTGATGAGAAACAGCCGCTTTATTTTCCTACTTTGTTCAACTCTACTGCGCCACATAGCGCCAAACTGCGACGGTTTCGTGAGAAGAGGATTACGTAACGGCAGGAAGCCGTTCGTTGATCAGTGAAATAAGGCTGACATGCTAAGCAGACCCGGGAGATGGAGGAGGACGACGCTACTTATGTTTCCTCTGGGACTCCAGACAGTCGTGAAACAGTGGATCTAAAAGCTTTCAAAGTATTAACGAAACATGTGTCGGATGAAGTGGCCCATAAACAAAGAGCACAGCAACCATATATTCTGTCTGCGTTTACTTACTCCCGTGCTCTCGCTGTTTCTGCCCAACGTTAACAGGAGGCATTACCTACCTATGATTGACGTGAAGAGCTCTGGGGCCGAGCTTCCTGCGGCCATGAAGGTTGCCCCGGCAACGTCATCGCTGAGCCCCAGATTCTGGACACGAGAACACAAAAAAGAGCGTTAGCAATTATAGTGTGCAAGATGACGCAAAGATCACCACCGCTACCCTGCAGGAAGGAAACGAATCTAATGCCTCCCTACCAAAACAGGTATCACGGCAGACGATTTGAAGCGGATTACTGGAGTCCAAATGTCAGATTGTTGGGAAGAAGTCGTGACGGCGGGATTTGCCAGGGGCACATCCCGTCAGGGTAAGATTAAGGTACGACTATCAGGAAGAATACGATGAAGATTGACGTCAATATGACGTCATCAACAGCAGCCATATTTGCAGTAACATAGACCCAAAGAAAATTGTTGACGTTCAAACGGAAACATGAGCCGCGGGGCAAAAGACACGTCCTATTTTAGCCTTTATTTGAACACAGGCTGCAAATTGCTGAAACAAAACATAAAAGGACTTGTATCGGCTATGGGTAGGCTTTGTTTACACCCCCTTTCCACTAGCGACCATACAGCGACCAAAATTGGAATTGTGCGAAACTTGATTTCATAATTGGAATATCAAGCACGATGTAAAAGTATGATTAAAGAATAACAAGGCACACAAAACGTTAAATATCGTTATCTATCATGATATTCTTGGAGCGATCTGTGAAATCTGTGGTTGCTCAGGGGCCTCAGTCTCTAGTAGAAAGGATGTGGAACCAAGATAGCAATGTAGACGCAATACCTACAATATATGCAAAGGTTGGAATTCAGAAAGTAATGCTCTTAGCATACAATGCACATTAACATCACGTAGAAAATGCGTTCTTTTGCAATTAAGTGACGCCCCTCAATGTTCTAGGCAAAGGTTATTTGATTACAAACAGTGGTAATAAATGTATATTGTTGGTGAGACACAAGAAGAGAATAGTATATTGTTGGTGAGACACAAGAAGAGATTTTCACTAAATCCACTGATTGTACATGATCAGTGCTTGAGGTGAAAGATTGGTATCGACTGTACGGAAGATCAGAGACACCCATGTCGTTAGGAAGATGATCCAGTGGTCGTGATTTTTCCCTCCCAACGGTTATGTTTTTCATTTTAACGACCCGCCCGAGGGGACCCTGCAAATCTATTCCTGTAGCAGCCTGCTGATGAAGCCCTGATCAGTAACGTGGGGAGCTCCGGCCCGAGGGAAGGACCTCCTCATCAGGCTGCTGCAGACAGCAGTGATCAGATTAATTACAGTGTTCACATTGGCGGAGGACACGCGTGTTCTGCGTATGAGATGAGATAAGATGTGAAGAAGACAGCCAAGGAAGCGTAGTTTACGCCCACTGTCTTAACTAAGAGATTTCTTTTATATCTTTTAAAATGAAATTCAACGGGAGTCTGGTGTCGGCATCGATAAAGGGTGGTCTATACAAGAAGTCAATTATGCACAAGTAAAACAGTACAATTTACGAATAGTGAAATGAAAATTAATACATAAAATCACATCTCAAATTACTTTCACATAGAGGATCCATACCGTCCGCAACCAGGTAGATCTAACACCACCGCTGGGTGATTCCCGTAAAACAGTCACGACAGCCGTAATACGGATAATCTCAGAAAGAGGGAAGAGTATTTGGAGCAACATTGAATCAGGAAACCATCCACGGAAAGCAAATCTCCACTTGTTTGCGTACATGTCAGCAGTTTGAAAGGAAGGGACAGCGTTTGCTTTAGCATCGAGACTTGAATAATGAAATGCCGGTGTTTATTACATTATGTGTTCCATCAAAACTCCGTCAAGGGAATTACAGAACGACGTTTCCATCTTAGAATCAAGTTCTTCAAAGACATGACTGGTGACGTAACATTCATCTGCTGTGGCATCATTGACATGGCTTAACGATGGGTTTCTCGAAAACGGGTAATATTCCAGTGGCTTCTTGATGCCGTATACGCGGGGCAGTGGATCTTTAATCCGCTGTGGCATGGTATCGGCAGGCGGAGCGCATTCCTCTCCTACCATCGCCTTTTTTTCTGGGTTCCCAACCGAATTCAAGTGTTCATTTACACCGTGCAGGAGTGAGTAAGTCGTTACAGAACGTTTGGCCCAGTGCGGTATGGAATCGAACCCGTGTGCTCTCGATCCCGTATCCGCTAGCCTTACCACGCCACGAACACTCGTTATTAAGACAAATAAACCTCGCGTGAAAATGTTTGATATCGAACTTGAATGAAACAATGCTGCGTGAACGGTCGATACAAGGCACCTGTGTATAGACGGGATGATGGAGAAACGATGACGTCACGTCTATTTATAGACCTATTTATTGCCGTTTTTCTAGATCAAATGTCAAGTGTAATTTGTCGAACGTGCAACGAGGCCTTCCAGGAAGAGCTATTTTAGGGTACGGAATTACTAAAGGTAAATAGCAACCTAAGTGCATCAAAAAGGAGGGACATTATTTACGCGTAGCTTAAAAGTTATCATTTACTACTAGGTCAAAATATTCTCGGAATTCGTGAGGAGAATTTTTAAGTTTGCTCTTTCTGCGAACAGACAAAAGAATACACATATATGAATGAATCAGATGGAGAAAGCATCACTTTCTGACATTTCGGCAACAGAAGGCGTCCGGACACCCACCCACCCAGTCACCCAGTCACCCACCCACGCAGTCACCCACCCAGGCAATCATCGCCAGAAACCAATTACCAGTGACGTCACGCGCGGGAAGAATCGCAGTTTGTGTTGGACACGTCGCGATCGGGAACGTGCCATCGATATGTCTCATCACGGCCGTCTGGTCCGATCGACCTTCTTAACCTTGCCGACTTCATTTTACGTTAGATTTAGCAAATCATTATTATTACAGTGAGTTGGTGGAACAAGTGCTGAATGTCGAGACGAACGTGTTAAGGATACCAAGAAAGACCCGTTTCGAGGGTTAAAAAGAAACAAACATAGTATATAATATGGAAACTGGTGAAAACTTTGCCAGTAAGAACATCGGCTGGCAAACTGTCCTCCATATGTCAATGGCAAATGTCTACTTTTTAGGCACCATGAAATCGTAGCGGATAAATTGACGTTAGTGTCACACATGTCTATTTGTGTTCTGTTTGGGGTGTGTGTGCTTCCATCTCGCCCGTTTGTATTGTACACTAAGCACGCAACCGTGCAACAAACAAGAACGAACAGTTTATGTAAGAGACATCTTGCTTAAATCAGCACGGAAAACCGTGGACGCATTATCGGAATAACAATGCGAGGCGGTTAGTGGACTCGCTGGCTGCTCCCCGGATCTTCCTTCATCCCTGCGTTTTGTTCATTGATCTGTACGTTTCTTGAAAGACATCAAAAGCGTGAAGGAGGAGGAACGCGGGGATGACTTGTCTTGTAAATCTGATCGGCGTTATCTGTACACACAGGGCATCAGTCTTATGGCGCCAAAGGTCTCATGCTCTCACCAGAGGGAGACTCAAATATCAGTATTGTTACAGGGAATGCAGAAGTGGGTAGCTGCCTTTTACTTTTACCACGGGGATGGACCGGCGTGATATTGACAAGAAAATTGAGGTCGAGGAGGTCAGGCTGGAGGAATGACATGTAGGAACCTGTACAGACCGTACCCTTACACGTGGGCCCGGCTGACCTGTGAACCTTTTAGGAAATGTCAGGACAGAGCAGACTGGTTGACTGACGAGGCACGGCTCTTCCCACGCAGGTTACCAGCGGGGTTTGGACAGCACGTTAAAGGTGTAACGCTGTCTCACGTGTCAATACTATCAACTAATGGCAAGCAGAATGACACTTGCTTAAGTTAAGCCATCTGTTCACAACTTTTTTTAACAGTCATACGTAGTCTTCTCTTTTACCCCTCCACAACATCATAACTTGACTCATGTGCTTACATAACGCATTACTACATGTACACTGCAAACTATCAGCAATGACCAAAAAGTTTGTTGTTGAAGGTTTTAAGTAAGATTTCCTTACGGAAGTCGAATAAACCTACGAGTTACCAGGGGTAAATACCTATTTGATCTCGTGTATCAAATTCTCGGGCGGATAAATATCAGATCTTCAGAATATCGGCTCATTGTCAGGGCAAAAGAAGACACCCGCCCCCACCATTCCACTACTCCTGACAGATCCGCCTTAAGACCTGCCAGACGCCGAGCTCAGGCTGGATCAGGCCGGAGTCTGCAGCAGAGTTCTACGATATGTTTATGTAAGTTCCGCTAATGCCAGTGTGTACAGATACCCAGCCGCGGTGCTGAAAGGCTTTCCGCTGGGATAGCCAGCTTTCGCCTCTGACGTCGTTACGCAAAGGCTCACAGTCTGCCGCCTCGAGGCAACCGTGTAGACTGTAGACACATCTGATATCAGGCAGTCGACTTGTTTCAGGCAGTATGGACTCGATATTTCCCACGGAAGAAAAAAAACTATTTTCTTCATGTTTTTATATGCATTATTTTGTTGAGTCATAGCTACGTTGTATCTTATAGCACTGCTCTCGTAATCTAATGTTCCCAGCTGTGATAGGAACTTTATTGGATTTGAATACTAGTAAGATACTGTATCGTTTCACTTCCCTGCAACCATGAGAAAAGGCAATTATGTTTTAGACGTTTCAAAGGTTGCCAGGATGTGATAATTAACGCATAACTATAAAATCGTTCTTCGAAAATCCGGCCGGCTTTATAAAATAAGAATATTTCGATTAAGTAAATCCGTTGCTGACGTCAAAGCCTGCCAGGATGCGTGAAATGGCAGTCATCTGATATCCGGGGAGTTATTTCTGTCGACCGTTTTTATTCGGGCGTGTCAATAGCCATCGTTTCGTCTGTTTTTAGTAGCAATTAAGTCTTCATCTGTGGCATGATTCATACCTGCTATTAGCCGCGCGTCACGGCGGGAAATGAAGTTAGAACCGACAGACGTGCGAACGGCACTTAGCGAGCTGGGAAAGTTACATTAGTTCTTCAAGGTTGACGGCTATATTTCTAGGGAAAATGTCTGCATCTAATTTATATGAATTAAAGTATTGAATAGGATGCGGAATATTTTTAAGTGTACCTCGCCATTTACTTGCTGTACCATGTACCAGGAACGCTCTGGTGTAGGATTCCACACATATTGACATTTATGAATTTATTGAGTGGCGTGCTGGTAAATCTGATTTTATCGCACTCCTGAATTAGTCGTTGGTATTGAATGCCTTAGATATCCTTGCTGTGGGAGTATTGAACATCTGTGGAGGGATCAGTATTGATTACCAGGTTCTCGTCTTTCAATTGCTTTCTAGATAGTTGACAAAACATGCCGAAGACTGGTTTGAATGGATAAAACTAGCAGTGACACATGACTGTGTCACCATCTGAGTTATTTCACTGACATTTCAATACTAGTTGTTACCACATAACAATGAGCCCTTGAGGTGACGTGAACAACACTAAAACGGCATCTCTTCTCCTAAGTCAAAAACAACAATCTCGCTCGCTGAAGGTGAGGACTAGCTGACCAAGTAGAGGTACCGCAGGCTGAAAACAGACCCATCTCCTACCCCAGTTAGATGTTGAGAAGGACAAGACTCACCTCGCTGATCTTCTCCAGGGAGGGAACAAAGTAGTCGTCACACACTATAGCCAGGGCGGCAAACATGTAGATGACCTAAAACGGCAAAAAAAGAAACATAGATATGTCTGGATTGCCAGAATGTGATAGTTAGGGCTGTTGATTCAGATATCTTGTTTTTGCCCTCACACCTTCGTGCATCTATACTTATACCATACAGCGGTCTGTTCAGTCGTTAAATCTTGATCTATCAAAGGAGGGTCAAATGTTCTGGATTTTTAACCTCCTTGATCTATCCATATTTTGCCATAAAGTTCTTCACATCATGCATATACAGAAGTTCCAGAATCCTACCCCAACCCCACCCCTAACCCAGCACGCGAAGGGATTCTGAATGTCGCCCATAGTACTAGTATACTGCACCAAACAGTATTAGTCAGGATCTCTGTCACTGCACTGAAAGTTCAGGAGCATGCAGATCTTACAGGCAGTTCCATATCTAATGAGAAACACTGATAGAAACGATTCATCAACGTTGTCGCAAAGGCGAAGACAGAGAAAACCGATATACGTCGTTGTACGTCGAAACAAAGTTAAAAGGGGTGAAATTTATCAGTTGTTTCGTCTTTCCACGATTTGACCAGTGTTTATGTGCATCTCGGTTCAGTATCTTGACAGAGACAGCGCTGGGGAAATGCGGTAGTACCGTACTTAACCATCAACATTTTATATGTATATGGTTTGTCGAGGAATTATATGTTCATGGTAACCCAGATTCTGACGACCCTCACTCTACTTCCATTAGGACTGTGCGTCCCATTCCGGGCGGTAGTTGTTCATCAGTTATGGAGATCCCGTATAGATAGAAGCCCTTCCGATCGATCTGGGTCCCCGGAGGAGCTCAGGGTAAGTGGTGGTGAAAGCAGGTGTTAATGCCTGGACATCAGGTCGTGTAGAAGCCGCGGATCTTCCGTCAGACATTTAAGGAAGTCGCCCGCCCTTAATTTTCCAATTAATCTCTTCAATCAATCCTTGTCGTCGGCAAACGTGGATCCAACGAGTTTTGTGGCCACCCTGATTAAAAACTAAACGTGATTTTGCTCCATAAGTGGTATCCGGACACACTTTTCAGCGTCACATGGCTCTTCTCTCCCGCGCTTAAGTAGGCCATGACACCGCTGCAGGGAGGGATGTGCGCTTGTGATGTGTGTCAAGAGGCCCGTTCCGTTTGAAGTGAGGTCATCTGTATGGCGCGCTCGGAAAGGTTGTGGCGAATGGGAATTTACGGCAAACGCCATTAAAACGTGAAAGACTCTTCTTTGGACTGGGAAAATCGTACTGCAAATCAGTTAAACAGTGAAAATAACGTGCACAGGAGTTTACGTTGGTAAATCATTCTCCCTGTTTAACCAACTTCTACTATTTTCCAGTTCATATAAGAGTCTGAGTGAGACTTATAAAAATTGCAGAAGGCTTAAGTCCGTTCCTAGGCTACATATGTTGCACGATGCACCTACGAAAAGGGTTTTTACATCCCGCCACAACTAATCGCACTACGAATGACCGCGCCCTAAAGGAGAGGCAAGAAGATAGTGAAGTGCTAACGGAGAAAAATCAGACGACAAGAGGAGAAAGTGCCCTGTTCTCCGTGTGACCGATAAACGTGGCATTTCAGATAAATTTACGTCAACAATTCCGTTAAACGGGGTGGCAGTAACACGACAAAGGTCAGCAGGCACTGGTGACACGTAATCAGCCGGTGTGATGGCGTGCCAGGACCTGTGTACAGCATACCTCTGGGTGAGGTAGGGTGTGACGCGCTAAAACAAAATAACTTCCGGATAAATGTTGCCTGTTGTAATTTCCCAAGCAATAAAGTTCTTCCCCAGCTGCACAAGTGGCACGGCGGCGCGGGTGTCAGCAGAACAACTTGAGACCGTTACCGCTCTCCCTGTCTACATATTTTGCTTGATTCTCTTTGATATATTGCAAAAAAACAGAATGTATACGGCATTTTGCGTCTACAACTATTCCACATACTTGTCATTTGGTGGGGTTCTACATGGCGTAAAATTTGGCGTTTGTACTTTGACAGGAACTTTGAAGTGCAAAACACAGTGTCGAATTATCACAAATACTAATTTGTCAGTCTTCATATGTCAATATGTATGTTTGCAATTCAAAACAAGCACCTAATTCCATAGATATTTCAAAATACATGTCATTTGAAACCTCTTCGTTTAGTATACGGTGACTTATGAAAATAGGCTTCATGTACGTATGGCATTTGCCATCGTATCAGCAGTGAAGACCAGCTCTTTCACGTTTCATACAACGTAATACACGCTCAGACAAATCAAATTTGCATTAGGTAGAGTTACTCGTACAATATTCCTGATTTTGAAGTTCAAAGGATGATATAATCCCCTCTTGTATGACGACCTTTGCAAGCCTGACGTGGCCCCGCTATCTACCGCCCCGTAACTCATCACGACGCCAACAATCTAATCCGATAACTCTAAAGCTGTAAAGCCTGACGAACCTGGGCCTAATACCCCATTTCCACTAGAGGCAACGGCCGATATTATAATATATAAATATTAATATTCGCAGATCGCTGAACGAATGTCGGTTATAAAGAAGACGTTTTGTGTGTTTTGTTTTTCTCAACTCATAAATCCAATGTCAGTTGACGCCAATTAAAAGAGGACCAACTAGAGTTCCACGATCTCATACCTTCGCCAAATGATGTTAGCGTTTATGACTAAGAAATAATAGATTAATCCCCCTGATTGTGCAAATAGGATCCTATATTGCATCAATTATATCTGCTGATCATATTCTATACCAGAAGACAGTCTTATCTTATCAATGCATGCCATTATAGCATGTCCTCATAAATTATGCAAATGAGGTCCTTATTTGAATAAGTTATGTTTAATTATGTTCACCTTCACATAACTTTCAAATATCCCAAGTATGAAATTCCAGACATTACCAATATGTAATTATAACATTTTCTCACTAATTATGCAAATTAAGTCTTCATTTGCATAATCAATATCTTCCTGTATTTCTGACGTTCTGAATTACATATGTCACAAGCTTGAATAGTCCTATCATGGAATGCAGCTGATTTATAGAATTTCCTCATTAATTATGCAAATTACATTAATAGTTGCATAATTGTAATATTATTATGTCATGCATCACTTCAGCTACCTACATGCCAAAACTCAGGACGATCCATCAATCGGTTCTTGAATTATCCGCCTTTAAACAGTTTTCAACTAACACCCCTGCAGTTCCAGAGCAAGCAGCTAGGGGGCCCAAACTCACGTCACTTCTTCCCTATCACAAGAGCTACCTACCATCCAAATTTCGGCCTAGCATGTCTAGATCACAAGATATCAAAACCGGAAGTTCAGCTGCAGTACCATAACAAACCGCTAGGTGGCCCAAAATCTAATCAGTTCCACGTCTCATCAAGACCTACCCACCTACTAAATATCAAGACAATCCATCCAGGCGTTCTCGAGTTATCGTGCTCACACACACACACACACACACACACACACACACACACACAGAGACACACGAACGCCTCTGAAAACATAACCTTCTTGGCGAAGGTAAAAATCCAATTGCAATCTCCGTAATTTCCCCTTTCCGCGACCAAACTGGATTTGTTTGACTGTTGCCATTATTAATTGAAATATGATTTTTGTATATGATGTGAAAGACATCAAATCACAAAAATGTGAAAAAATCGTTCTTTGTCTATCAAATTCATTAAGTCTTTGGTTGTGAAGAGGAGAGAAGGGGACCCAAACAACCCGCTAGCACCTCCATTAACAGCACCAGTCGGGTTCGCCTTGTGATGTGTCAGCATGAACCTCGGGTGGAATATATACAAACTACTTAAGCTCTGTTGGAAGTGATGTTGACAGGATCTAATATGGACTGCCACGCTGACAGA